ATATCTATAAATTTTCATTTGTTATTAAATTCACAACTTTCATATAAACGATAAAATCTCAATATAGTAATATATATAGTATTAATTTATGTCAATTTACAACCAAATTATCATAAATTTCCATCATTAGCAAGTTGTAAAACCTTATTATAATATCTAACATGGTTCATTTTAATAGTACAATATTATAAAAATTAATATAATTGTTAGCATTTACAGTATTTCCAAATTTAAGTTTAATATTCTTTACACAAAAATAGGAACTTTATAAGACAAATTCCCGAAGGTGAAGTTTCCGGATATTGTATGACCTTGAAATTTCAAAAATGGTTGCGTTTTAATGAGTTTAAGTTTATATAAACCTTGGTGGTACTTAAGTCCAAAAATCATTGAAAAACAATTAGCCATTCTTGAAATAGAGGACTGCTTTCTATCGATTAAAGTATTTATTAATAAAGTCACTATACATTATCTTATAATTCAATTTCTCGTTTAAAAACTTTATACGGCAAATGTTACAATTAGTAAAATTCGTTTGAACTTCAAACTTTTTAAAATGACCGTCATTTTCATATTATTAAAATTTTTTATATCATATTGATAGAGTCACTGCTAATGTATAAAGGACGCTGGTGATAGTTAAATTATGAAGTTTAGTATATCAGATATCGCTTATGATAGTTGAACCAATCGGATTTTTATATATGGTTTCATAACCAATATTTTCCTTTTAGGAGTTTGTATTACCGGCAAAAAAGAAAAGGCGTCGCATAAAATATGCAATACAATTTTCGTACACTACCATTTTACTTTCTTCTAGAATCAAAAAAGTTTCTAGAATATTCATAACTTCCACATTTAGAATTACCATATATGAAAAAAATTATTGAAAACGTTACCATTTCCAAAAATGTTAATTTATCAAGTCGGAATTTTTTATTTCTACACAAAAAAAGCTATCTTAACAATTGGTGATACTCAAAATGTATACTTATATAAGGCAGCACATAATTAACCAAAATTTACAAATCGAGAATGTTTGCATCATGCCAATCTTAAAGTTTCAGGAAATTTCAATACGAAGCTCAGCTTCAAGATCATAATCTTTTGTCTTATTTATTTCCGTGTTCAATACACGAAATATTCCGTAATTTAATAATATCTTCTGTGCAGAAAATTCAGCACATGTGATATTCAGCAAAAAAAAACGTATTTAAAACATGTAAAGATTTTTATCCTTTGCTTACAACTTTGCTTAACAGTATTAAAGATGACTAAAATATACAAGCCTAAAAATCATAGGACTTGCTGCATCGTTATAATTTACCGACTTTTACCTACTTCAAATTTAAGAACATCTTTGGGTAACAAAATTGGTGGCTATTTGAGCAATCTCGAGTATCGTGTTCAGCAACTAGAAA